TTTTTTTTTGAAAAAGCAAACATAAATTGAAAATTGATATTTTGTTAATTTTTAATTTTTTTTTATTACAAAATTAATTTTTTTCATAATTGATAAATTTTAATATTATTTTTATATCATTTTATTTATATATCTTTTATTTCTTATTAATTTCTTATTATTTCTTATTTATTCTTATTGATAAATTTATTTAATTATTTTTAATTAAATATTAAAATTTAAATATTATTAATTTTTTTTAATTAATAATTTTTTTTGATATAAGAATATTTGAGAACAAATGATATAAGATAATTATTAAGATAATTAATTAAGATAATTGTACTAACTATAGCAATTTAACTATAGCAATTATACTAACTAAAAGCAATTTCATGACTTTTCAAAAACTAAGCTTCTTTATAATATGCATTTATTCATAAATACAACATTCATATAATACCGGATGTATCTTTGAACCTGATTTTACTTGATAAACTATTGTTTACTGATTTGAATTCGATTATGCGCAATATTTAAATGAAATTATAATGTAATTTTTAAAGTTAAAAATAAAATCTTCATATACAATTCAAATTATATTTATTTGATTTATTTATTTGTACTAATACATGCTTTATAGAGAGAATGCAATATATACATTATCGCGAATGCTATTTTATTATCAACAAATGAAATATATATATATATATATTTATATTATATTATATTATATAATATATTTATATTATATATATAAAACATACTATATATAAATATTACAGAAAATATATTTATCATACGTAATAAAATATTATTTGCAATTAATTATGCAAAAAAATTATGAAACAATATAGTAATAAATCGAACATTAAATCATTATTTCGTATATATAATATTTTGTTATTCGTTGTATTCGATACTTAAAATACTTCTATTTTATGATTTTAATATTTTTACAATTTCTATTTCGAACAATCAAATTAAAAAAATATTTGCAGATGTATAAGTTAAAAATCATAATATATTTTGTAATTTTTTCCATATAAAGAATAAATAAAAACAAATACGTATATAATTGTATACAATTAAATTTTTTTTATCATTTTTGCAATGGTTATCATTTTTAACGCGCAGCGTTATAATTTTATCACATTTTATACACATTTAATTTATCGATTTGTTTTTCAATTATTTGATGTACAATTTTTGGATATAATATATAATTTCAATTCTAATACATTTTAATTTCAAATAAATTTGTAAAATGTATATATTAAACAAATATAAATAATATATATTATTTCAAAATAAAATATATTTAATCATCTAACAGAACACTCAAAGGATCCTCTCTAATTTTTTCAGCTGTTTTTTTCAAATCTCTTGTTATTGTTTTTTTAACAGTTGAACGGGTCTCCACTGATTTAATCGATTCGCCCGTAAGCTTTTTACCGAATATATTATCATTGTCATCATCATCATCAGAAAGAAATAGAGATTTCGACGTGCCAGCAATTTTCTTCGAAACTGATATTTTGGTTAAAATATCGTCTTCTCCACTTGACTGATCAGCAAAAATGTCCGTAATATGCGAAGTCTTCACAAGTTCTGTAATGCTTGTATATATATCATTTTTCTTTGATTGTTCTTGAATGCTATCAGTATCTAATTTCTGTGTTTGGTCAAGTGGCTCAGAAAATAAATTTGTATCAGTATTATCATCATCAAATATATTTATTTTCTTTCCAGATTGTTCCACAGAATGTTTTCTTTCAGGTTCGGTGTCTATTGATTTCTTTATAACAGAGCTACCAAATAAGCTATTATCTTCATCTTCTTCATCGAACAAATTAATTTTCGTATCCTTTAAAGTTTTTTTCACAGATTTAGTTAAAGTTGTCGAAAACAGATCATTTTCTGTATCATCGGTAAATAAACCCAAGATTGGTTTTTTTGCAGTTTGTTCTTCAATTAATTTTTTGGTGCCACTAGAGAACAAACTATCATCTTCAGAAAATAATAAATTCTTTCCCTTTTCGGGAGATGGTGTTTTTGTGACAAAAGCAAATAACTGACTGGGATCTTTCAGCGGATCATGACTATCATCTCGTAATGGATCAATCATTTCTTTCGATTCGTCTTCAAGTTTAGCATTCTCTGATTTGGATTCCTTTTTATTAAGTGTGAAGTTATGGAATTTATAGTTGAAGTGGTACCAGATACAAATAATGTGCTACTTTGTTCCATCTCTTCTACAGTTTTTTTTGTTTCTGTCTCTACATCGTCGATTTGTTTAATATATGTATCTTTCAACACTTTGAAAGTAACAGGTGGCTTTTTAGAAACAACTTTTTCAACCGGAGAGAGAATAGGTGCTCTACCAAATAGCATATCTTCTTTCTGTGGATCTTCTGGTAAATCTGGTGGCACATCAAATAAGTCTTCTTCGTCTGTAGATGGTGATAATAAAGTATTTTTGTTAGCACTCATTGAACTTTCCTTGCTTATGCTACCAAGTTCAGACTTATCATCCGCAGGTAAGAAACTATTATTTTCAGGAGTTCGATAAAAATTATCATTGTTTGAATGATCAAAAATAGTGGAAGCGGGATGTGCGATACTAATATTTGTAGAAATTTCTTTATTGAAGGTACTTAGCGATTGATTAGTCTGGCCCTCATCTTGTGAATTATTTTCAACAGCATCTACAGTATCAAAATCGATTCCGCTTTGCCTGATGGCGGATTTTCGTGCATGCCTACTTTGTGGTCGGCGTTTCGCTTGTATTCTAACTCGTGTCTGAAAAATCATAAAAAATTAAAAATGATCAATAGAATGTTTTTTTTCAAAACATGCATTACATTTTGATAATATTTTACCTTCGAAGCAGTAATAGATAACGTTTCTACTTGCACTGGCTCATCAAAACTAATCGCATTTTCTACATTACTTTCATCTGAAATTGTCGATTGCTGAGATTGCTTCTGAGTAGTAGTACTATCTTCTGCAAAATTGATGAACAGAATCAAATTAATTATTAAATGCAAAATATAAAAAAATTGAATATATATGTATATACGTATATATTACCTGATGCACTTAGTGGCGAATTATGACTTTGTGTGCTAACACATCCGCCATCATCACTATCTCTATCTCCTGAATTATCTTCCTCATCCGTTTTTTCTTTGCTTTTTCGCCATACTGGTGGTGTATCCATGGGTGAAATCATTTTTAAATCCCCCATTTTTCCCATTAAATTTTTTATTTTACCAGAAACCATTCGTTTTGTTTGATTATTTTTATCAGGCGATGATGATGTGGCAGTTGTATGTATATCTAAAGATTTTGGAGGACTCATTTTTAATTCATTTTCAATATTTTGTACAGGCTCGCATTCCTCAGAATTACTAATTGAATGTGTATCTTTTTTTATATCCTTGGATATGATAACAGAAACATTTGATTCTTCAGGTTTTACAAAGATATCAGAATTATTTGATACTTTAATATCCTTAGCAGAATCTTCTTTAATATTTTTTTTTATCTCCAAAGTTTCATGTTCATCCTGTTTTGTTTTTTCTGTTATTACATTTTTAGTATTGAACAAATCATCATAGTCATCATCCTCAAAAATCAATCCATGTGATCCAATAGTAGTAGAAAACAATCCATTGCTCGAAAGAATATCACTACTCTTATTTTCACTCTTTCTAACTTTCTGATCCACGATATCTATTCCGGACGCAGCTATTTCTGGCGATTCTTTATCATTCTCTTTCTTTTTATTAATTGGTTTTTTCATGGAAAACAAATCATTCTCATAATCATCATTAAAAATAGCAGATTTATTTATAATTTCAGTTTTAATAGATTTCGTTGAGAATAAATCGCTATCTTCTACATCATTATCAAACAAGCTAATTTCTTTCGATTTAGCAACATTCTGATTTTTTTCCAATCCGTTATTTTTCGTTATTGCATCTCGAATACTATTTGTGAACAAATCATCATCAGGAATGTCCAAAAACTTTTTATTAGAGGCATTACTTTCCTCTTTGGCTACCGGTTTTGCTATTATACCAAATATATCGACATCTGGGGAATCCTTATTATCGAATATGTTGATTTCTTCGTCGAAAAGACCTCTTCGTTGTGTAGATTTGATCTTGTCGGAATAATGAGACGTGGTCAATAAGTCACTGCTTCTTTGTGATCTTGAACCTGAGCTAGTTGTCGAAAATAATTCATCACCAGAATCAGAATCGTCAAATAACGAAGGTATTTTCGATTTCGGCAATTTTGAATCTGCTTTTGGTAGCGGAGGTGGACCAAACAAGTCCTCATTTTCGAACACATCGTCCTGTCGTATAGACGATATATCCTCGATAGACTCCACTTGAGGTGGATTATTCGTAGTGTTCGAGATCGAAGTCACAGGATTATGTGTACGTGCAGTAAAGAGACTGTCACTACTGATTCGTTCCCGATAAATTTCTTCCGATTTTAAACGCGTTGACGACATCCGAGGCTCAATACTGTAACAACAAGTCATAAAAGTTAGAATAAGAATGTATGTAAAATAGCCCATTAAAACGAAGTATATTAGTAAATTTCTTTTCATTCTTTTCTATTTCTTTTTTGTTCGTTTTCATTTTAAAAATGGCTTGTTTCCTATTATTCACGCATAGCGAAAATAAAAGTTTCGCTTTCAAAAATATATTTTTAAATTATGAAAGAAAAGAAAGATAAAAAAAATTTACAATGTGTTTTGTGTTAATAAAATACAAAGATATAGCAATGAAATCAATAAAGAAATATTTAAATAAAATTTCACAATAATATATAATAAAATTATTAATAACTTGCATCACATGTACAAAAAAAAATATGTACAATAACTCTCACTTAATGTGATAATATATATGATAAATGATTCAATTTCTATTGACTAATAAGAGAAAATAATAAAAGAAAATATTCCATGTTACAACATGCAAAATTTAATTCTAAAAATCAATTTTCAAAAAAATTTGAAAACTTCTACAAATTTAATATATTTTTATGAATAGAAAATTACAAACAAAAAGACAAATATCTTTAATTAATTGTAAATGATTTGAGTTTTTTAAATTATTTAAATTATTTAAGTTTTTTTATACAATGATTTAAAAAAATATTAATGATTTAAAATATATAAATTATATCATATTATTACATAGCTATAATTATCTAATATTTTAAAATAACAAAAAAAAAATATAAAAATATATAAATATTTAAATATATTCAAATAATAATATTATGTAGAAATTATTTGTGCAAATTGTTATTTATAGAAAACTGTTATAGAGTAATGATATTTGAATTAAGAATAATATTAAGAACAAATAATAGACCATGATCGGCGATATATATATATGTATTACTTACTTGATTATAATTGAAAATAAATATAATTAGAGAAAATGTTGCATGCAGAATATATGCATACAGTATACAAGTTAGAAATGAGATACAAGCAAACTAAAAGAACTTGCCTTGAGCTCGCGCATGTACTTGAAATAATCATTGGAATGTAATGAGAGATGACTAATGTTTGGATCATCAATTCAATGATACATATACAACATATATATCGTTTTTTGTGCGTATAAAAATAAAAAGAGAAAGATAATATAAATTTGATAAAATTTATCAAATATAACTAAATAAAACAATAATATTAATTTTTAGTAAGTAATATTATAATTCATAATCTATATCTAATTTATTTATTCTATATATGATGTATTTATTAATTTATCTAAGTATTAATCTATCATAGTATTAATAAAATTGATACTCACTCTAAGCTTGAACCACCTGTGTTATTAATACTTGGTGGATAAATCGATATTCCGCTACTGTAATTACTTTCATTAAACATGGCTGAATTTTCTACGTTATTCACAATAAAATCATTGATATTATCGTTCGAAACAGTATTCCGTGAATGATCACGTACTGATTCGTTGCTAATATTATTTTCATAATTTACTGATGTATTACTTCCGGAAGATCCGGATGAATGATTTCGTAATATTCTATTTGATAATTTATTCTCTACATTTGAAGTTAAACTATTTCCAGATATTGATATTCCTTCCATTGATTTCTAAAATATTGTATAAAATATTAATTTTATAATTTCATTAGAAAATTATTGCTAATAATAATTATTTTATGATCTTACTTTTTTATTTGGCTCTTGGTTTTTAGATGGCCCAAAGAGATCAGTAATATCTTCATCATCGCTAAATAAATTATTAGTATTTACGGCAGTTTCTGGTGTACTTGTAGCCACATTACTAATTACTCTTGATGCAACAGTCTCTAAACATTTTTTTTGTATATTTTCTGTATTTAATTGATTATTATTATTATTAGAATATTTATTTTTTGTAGTTATTTTTGTTATATTTTTCGGCGAAAAAATATCATCGGATTCAGTATCAGCAAAAAGATCATCGATTGCAGATTTAGGTTTTGTCGCTAAAAATATAAATATTCTTCTTAAACATCTTAAAAAATAAAATATATAGATTACAAAAAAAGAACTTACAAATAGTACTAATTGGAGGTGGTACATCAATGCTAGCAGGTATAATATTTTTGCATGGTTTAATATATCTTTCTTTTGATAAATTTTCAATAGATTGATCATTTAAAAATTCTTTACTTCCACTAAATATAATTCTAGATTTATCATTTAAAATGTTCTCATCTTCTTCTGGTGTAAATAAATCATCTAATAAAGAAAACATAAATTAAATATCAATAAAAGAAATATAAATTAAATTTACCTTTAAATCGATTTATTGATGCCTCATTTTTTTCATTTACAATGCCTGGTTTTTGAGCCTGTCGAACTGTACCTAATCGTTTAGCTAATTCTTCAGCAAAATTTGGTGTTATATTGTTTGGTAATGATGTCTAAAATATAATATGAATAATTTATTACATTATAATATATATAATCGTTATTATAACATATAAAAATTATTTATAAATATACGTATTAAAAAAAATAAATAAATAAAAAAAAAAGAATAAAACCTTTGAAATATTATCATTAGGAGTAATTGATTCAGGAACAGAATCTATATTATTTTGACTAACTGCATCTATTTTTTCATTGCTTATATATGCTAAATCATTTCTTTTACTATAATCTGATCCATTCAAAGAAGGTAATAATCCAACTATGTTAGTTTTTGGTGCAGTATTCATACTAAAATCTTTAAATGTTGTTGTGCTATCATCTTCATTTTCTGATTCTTCTTCTTCTTCATCTATTTGTTCAGATTCACTACTACTACTACTTTCTAAACCAATTTTATTTGAATTTTTCCATTTTTCAGAACCAATAACATAAGGCAAAGCTCGATCTTGATATGGATCATTTGGCCCCAATACAACACTGTAATTAAATTATAATTAAAATGTAATTTAAGAAATTATTTTAATAATGAAAATTACATAAGTTTACCTTAATACTACTTTATTGTCTTCTTCTTCACTATCACTATCACTGTCAACAAATTCCATTTCCTTATATTTTTCATACATTATATTTAGGCCTTGTTTTACAGTTTCACTCACATTAGCTATAAAATCTGCATCTACAGAATCTTGATCTTTATATTGCTATAAATTTTAGTAAAATAATGATTAAAAAGAATTATAATAAATTAAATCTTAAAATATTTAACTACCTCAATTGATGTTTCTACTTGTTCTCCAATCTCTATATTATCTTCTTGTACACGACTCTCAATAAATTGAGTATTAGCTAAAGCTAAAGATGTATTAGTAACATTATCAATAAATATTGCTGTTTCGTTTAATTGAGTTGTTAATGAATCCAAAACTTCTTGTGTTTTATTTGCTCTTGATATTACATTCTAAAAATATCATTAATAAATGTAAAACTTTTATATATAATTTTAACTAAAAAAATTATGTAATAAAAAAATAAAATTAATTCATACATCAGAAAATTGTTGAAGATGTTTAAGAAGTCCTGCATCACCTGCTAGACTCCATTCTCTTCTTTTTTTTCGCATTTCTTCTGTAGTCCATGGATGATCCCATGATTTATCCATTCCATTTGATATGTCCTAGTATATAATATTTTTATTATATGTATTTATTTAATGTATATCTTATTAAATATTTTTTTAAATTTAAGAAGAAAGAAAAATTTATACCATATTAATTTCTTTCCATGTGGAACAAATAACAGTAATCTTTATTATTGTTTATATTTTTTAACCTTGAAACTTGTTTTAAATTTTTAAACTGATAAATAATTATCAACATACCATCTAGCTTAATTTAGTATAACTATTACTTTTCTTCGTAAATACATTTACATACGTTGCATTATATTTTATCAAACTTAGTGAGGGGGAAAAAAACACCCATTTAACAGTTGGAATTATCAAGTATCGAATACTGTCACATCTATGGTATGATTTAATTCTTGTTTTAAGAGAAAACTTTCAGGAATGTATGTAAGTTAAACCAAGCCTACGAGTTTTTTTTTATTTATTATAGTTAAAAGGATATTTATATATTGTATAAAACTCTACATAAATATTTTATATAACAAAAAATTAAAAATTTGTCATGCAAATATTTTTTTTAAACATATACTATTTATTTTTGAATATAATTTTATACTATTATTAAAAATAATATTTATATAATAATTTTTTGTTATTATATTCTTTTTCGTATCATATTATTTAAAAATTTTATATAAATATAATAAAATATAATATAAATATGTATTAAATTTTATATAATAGAATAAATAGAAAGGGGTCTTTCTATTACAGTATACAATACTGGTATATACAATGTTGCCAAACCGAACAGTATTTTGGTCCGCATTCAACATTCCGCTGTTCGACCTATAGAGAAACAGTACTGTGGATTGTTTGTCAATATCTTGGAGTTAGTTGATTTTTACCAATATTTATATGTAAAACAATTGTTTTACAATGACACAAAAAATCAAAAAAATATCCTGATTATAAACGTGTCAGAGTGTTTTGTGTATATATAAAAAACGTACTGATAAAATAATACTGACAAAAAGAACATCATATATGTAGTATAATGCTACTTTTATATGCAAGTGAGGAATTCCATCTGTTTCGTTAGAAAAAAGATTGTTTGAAAATTTTATATTATAAAAAATATTTAGACTTTTCATAATTAAGATTTTATTAATTATACATTATTATGGATATTTAATACAAATACCTGTTTCATAAGTGAAAAAGTAAAAATTTGTAATATAATAACAAAAAAAGACGGATAACCCTTATTATATAAAAAGTTCCATAAATTGGTACTTATCGGTAAGTAATTAAAAATACAACATTTTAGATTAATTTATAAAGAAAATTTTTTTAATTATAAATTAAATCGATTTAGTTTTTTAAACAATATAATATACACGTACGCGCATGTACATTAATAAATGATACTATAAAATTATTTATTATATGAAAAACAACAAATTCATAATATTTGTTAAAGCTTAAAAAAAATCATTTTGTTATATTATAATAAGAAATATACATTTTGTTTGTTTTAGATACATTTTTGAAGATGTACCTCAGGATGTCACAACAAAGAGATATAGATGGTTTATATAGTAAAAATGAATACATCCGACAATTGTGTATCTTGTTTAGTTGATGCACAGAATATTCTCTTAGGCAATTGTCTATTTTCTTTATTGCATATCTTTATTCTTGCTCTTTTGGAGCAATCTCATTGTCATAAAGTATCCAGTGTTCATAAAATCACTTTTAATGAGGCTGAAAGCACGTATAGGAAGGCAAACTCTCTTTTGAGAAGTTACAGTGTTCTACAACTGACTTTCATGAACAATGAACCATTCGGGAAGTGGAAAACGTCAGGCGAAGGTTTTGGAAGAAAACTATTGGGACTGCAGTGTCTGCACGTATAGAAATACCGCAGAAGCATTTAAGTGCCTCATGTGTGACGTCCGTAAAGGAACTTCTACGCGGAAACCCCGCATTAATCCCCAACTTGTAGCACAACAGGTTATATTGTAATATAATATTATATACTATATTATGTATTAATATTATATATATATAATTTCACTATAATCTCTCTATTTATCATAAATGAAATAATGTACAATAAAATTATAATATTAAAAAATATAATTTTACTAATACATTACATTATATGTAGGTTGCACAGCAACAATACGTACCACTTTTAAAACCAGGAAAAAAGGAAGGTGGAAGTGGGGGTAGTACAACTAGTAGTGGTAAAGAAAAAGATCGTAAATTGGACAAACCAAGACGTAAAAATAGGCATCCACCCCGTCTCAAAAATATAGATCGTAGTACAGCCCAGACCAATGAAGTGACAGTAAATAATGTTACTGTCGTTATTACAGAATATAAGCCCAAAGTGAAAAAAAGTTCAGATCAATCTGGTTTATCTAGTAGTGCTTCTTCTGAAAATGGAAGTCAGCATGATTCTAATCAAGACTCTAGAAGTCTGGATATAGGAACAGATGCTTAGCTCAGTGCTATATCACATATGTGTATGAATTAATCTAATTAATATATTATATAATGTATGTTACACTTTATGGACTATGGTCCATTATGTAGACAAAAACAACCATTTGTCTATATGTTACAGGTTACATAACATTCAATGAGGTCAGATGTTTTATGCTATCAGTGGAATCATTGAATTATGTCTTCAATATAATCTAAGAAATATGTCATATAATGTTGCTACATACTGATCAAAATCGTCTGTTTCAATGACAGTAATCTTGACATCTAAAAGCAACAGCAAAAGTTAGTTATATTTAAACTTATTTATTTTATAAATTTATAATATTCTAAATTGATATTTAATATCTAATTGAACATTTTAGATAATTTTATTTATGCAACTTTGGATATTACTTATTCTACTTAATATTATATATATATATATTGACTGTAAAAATGCATTATATGCCTTAATATGGCAAATGGAATTTGATACATTCATTGTTGACATAACAATGTCCACGTGACTTTCATTGAATCTATAACACCACTGCCAGAAAGCATGTTGTAAGATTATTGTTAATTAGAATATTTTAACGAACTCATTTATGTATAATATGAGGTATTTAACTTGTTATTTAATAATGACTATGACAGAGAATTAAAAAACTGGCATTGGTACGTATATACCTTGATCCCATTCCAAAATTATCTATAAATTTGATCTGTTCCAAACTTTATATTTTAATAGCAATTAATTTCACTAATACAAAAATCTTTAATTTAAATATATATATACATAAAAAAATATAAAATTAAATTACATAATATAGTATATAATATAAATTGAAATAGATATCACATGGTTCAATATTATATATTTTATATATTAGATAATACTTGAGTTTGTAACAAAGAATTTCATTAATTTTTATTGCTCACAATTTTCATTATGTTAAAACACAACAAATATAATTTTTATCTACTTCTTTATTGCCCACATTTTAATAGTTCTAGGATATATAGATCGAATATAATATTAATAGGAAATATTTGACCAATTTACTACAAAATATTAATTTGTTTCCATAGTAAAATTATAAAAATTGAAATATTAACTATAAAAGACTATTTTTCTTTTGAATTATTGATATTACAGCAGAGCATAAAAGCTACAAAGCTAGCTCATATTAGTAACTGCCCAATCACTTATAACTGTGATTTATAATTCTTTTTATATTTATTTTTACATATTTTATGTTACCAGGTAAGAAATAGCATTATCAAATTAATTCAAACAAAATTTATTATGACTACAAGGACCATAAACAATTTGATTATTTCATGTATGAAATATTAACATACTATAAAATCAATTCTTTTTCAATTCATGTAAAATATTTGTATGCTAGTTAGATTGAAATATAAAATGTAATTTGTCATTGAAGTTTAATATTCTTTATTATAAACATGAAAGTAAGTGATACTTTTACAACCATTTATACATACAATTATTCAAGTACCAAAAAAAAAAAAAATTACATAATCATGCAATATTAAAAAAAATTTATAATATAAAATAATGAAGTTCTAACTACTACTTTTAGTTTTTTAAAAATCACCAATTTTATAAAATTTGTAAAATAAATATCAAATTTTTGTTAAATAGAAAGAAATTCTAATTTTTTATGTTCACAATTATATATTTGTGTAAAATATTTTAATTTTAATATTTAGATTAAAAATGAAGAAGTTGGTAATATAGCTTAAATTATATTATATTACATCAACATAATGTATTCTTAATCATTTTATTAAATAATCAATTTAATTAAATATATTTTATTATATTTAATATATATATAATGTTCAATTTGAAAATTTATATTTTCAAATATTGTTCATTAACTTAAAAACAAACAAATTTTAAGTAATTTAATAATATTTCTTATATTTTTCTGATATTGATGCATATAAATCAAAAATTTGTATCAATTGTCTTAAATGTGTAACAAATATGTTAAAATATAATTGGATTTGTGTGCTGTAAATGATCAGAACAAAATTACTATGTTGTACAAATGTCAAATTGTAAAACTTTCGAAAAATACTGTTGAAATTAATATTATATTATTACAAGAAAAAAATAAATTACATGTTTTAACAAGAAAACGTATAAATATTTATAGCCTTTTAAATATGTATGTGTTTTTCAGAATTTTATTTGTATAAAAAATATATACTACAAATTATAGCCTTGAATGTATATAAAAATACACGTATGTATTAAAAATTTAAAAATTCTTAATATATATGCACATTTTGCAAACTTAACATTCTAATATATTATAAAGCCAAGAATTTAATATTTATAATTTTAATTACATTAAGATTGAGATGTGTTATAATTAAAAAAAAAATGAATGTAAGTTCAATTGGCATCTCGTACTTTTATGTTGTATGAATATAAAAGCAAATATAGACAAAGAGTAAAAATAATAAAAAAAAAAGATAGAAATAGAAAAATATTGAAATTAGTGCTCTTTAGAAAAATCTTTAGAGTGCCACAAATGAAATACAAATAAAGAAGATAGAAAATATTTAAAAAAGGATAAAGATAGAATAAGATAGACTAGAATTCAGAATCAACCATCTTTTATTGTGTTTTTTAAATCAGTTTTTAAAGATATTTTAAATTCGAAAGATGGCGTTAATGATTAATTCCTATCTCATATTCTATTTATTTTTTTTCTATTATTTTCTATTTTTTGTGTTTCATTCACTCTAAAATTAGCATAGATTTCAATATTTTTAATCTATTTCTATCTTTATCTTATTACTTTCTTGTCTGCTTTACAAAATTTATGCTTTCCATTATCTAATTAATTTTGTTTTCTAAAATAAAAATACAAAAATATATGTAAAATATATTGTTATATAAAAGTAATATATAATATATATATACGATATATTTATAATAGAAATATACAAGTATTTATATTAAAAATTATATTTTCGATTTCATTCATTATGCATATATACGTGTATTTAAATATACATATACATAAAATCTGTGTGTGTGTGTGTGTGTGTATTATGTACACCATAGCTAAATATCTTTGATTTACAATTCTTTACGAAATTATTATTATTTTAATAATTAACGAAATTTTTAATATTTTTTAATTTACTTACTTTTTCTTAAAATATTTTTATTTCCTTTTTTTTTTTTAAGACATTTTATTTTCTATATTTGTATTCAAAATCATTGAATCCATATTTTCTGTCATATCCATTATTTCTTCTTTTATTTCTGTTTTTATATCATCAATGTTAATTTTTGGAACACGATTTTGAAATCTTTTATGTACTAAAAATAAAATTCATATATTATATGCATCTTCATAAAAAAATGTAGAATTATGTATATATTAACATACTTTCTGATATTCTTAAAAGATCAAATATTTTTAAATTATGTGATTTATTATCACCACCAGCAGAAAATACAAAAGGTTCATCTGGATTTGATGCAAGACATAATAAACCACCAAGATTAGTTTTCTTTTCCCAAATAACACTTGGCTTTGTGTTTTCAATAATATCCCATACTTTAATAATACCATCATTTGCTGAAGTAACAAGAAGTCCAGGGCATGATGAACTAAGCGATAAACCTAAAATTATAATATAATAAATTTTATTATTTTTTTTATTTAATTCATATATAATTTCATCATTCATATTTAAATTTTACATATACCTGTAACTTCTTGAGTATGAGCTTCTATATTCCAAATTGATTTATCTTTTCTGATATCTATATATTGTACATATCCATTAGAAGTACTAATCTAAATAAAAAATAATAAAATAATTTCTATCACCATTTATATATATATATATATATATATATATATTAATTTTATTACTAATTAA